TATGTATATTGGAACCTTGTTAGACTGGAACCTTGGTGGTTTTTTTTGTATCTTGTCAGCAAAGACCCTTTGTGTGTATAGTGGAACATTATAAGGTGTTTGTACACGGGAACCTTGCTAGTCCGGACTCTTCGTTTTGTCTGTACGTAGGAAACTGATTACAGTAGAAAATACTCATTGGATCCTTGTTTGACCGGAAACTTTATATATATAATAAAGGAGGATAGCTTAGGAACATTATTTTTCTCTTTCAGTTTTATTCATGTTTGAATTTCTTTAAATATTTTATGAACTTAAATTTGTTTTATTGTTTTCAACTGATATATAGCGTACTGCCTTAAAACTTCGAAAAAGAAAGTAAATTGGTGATAAAAAAATCATTACGTCGTGAAATATGGTATTATCACGAGATTAGATTAGACTATCTAAGTTCGTGGTTTTATCGTCAATGAAAATTTTGAGTTTGTTTTTGAAAACAAAAATACAATATAAAATCAGTTGGCCCTATCTACGAACGGGAATAAAAATATGCTGCTGAAATCATTGCGCCTATTGTTTACCATTTTCAATTATTGAAGTATATAATTCAACACGATTCAATTAAAACATTAGATGAGACGAATTGAATAGAAATACTTCTTTCGGAAAAAAACCAACACGCATTGTATTTATTTTTTTACGATTTCCTTCCTCTATCAGCCTACAACTTAGCTCAATGGGGAAAATCACATTTACTAATGAAAAGACAAATCCCCCTTTTCCAGGACTGCTTCATACAAAATTCATTAAAATCTGCAGCTGGCCGTTTATAGATTTTCAATAACGACACACCTCCATCGCCCTATAGGACTGTAAGAGTGATCTCCCTTCAATTGATATATTGTGCTATGCTTCCCTAAGATTTGGTCCACATTGGTTTCCTACTGTCGTCCTCTAACTTTTTGTTTTTGTTTCTACAGTACAAACAATTAGATGATATTCCTGTCTGTCTCAATGCATTGAACAATTGCATATATAACTTTAACTCCCACTGAACTGCTTGTATTTATTAACAATTCAAAAATCTGGCAAATGTGTTTGTTTTGATTTGGTTTGGTCCCATATTGATATCCTGAGGATTCTGAATCTTTTGAAGAATGGTCATGAAAATAAGTATTCCTGAAATCCAAGTAATTTATAGGTGCCTTGAAGGCATTTCTTCAGAAATAGGCTTATTTACACAATACTCAGCATAGGGAGGTAGTGAAGTACAATTATTTGGGTGAATGGAAGATCTTATTGTCCACAGGTAAAATATTTCTTTTAACAGTAAAACATTCCATCTTACGGACATTTACAAAAGAGAACGAAAACACTAAATTGTTTTAGGACAAATTTAATTCATCCATTTTCACAGTTTTTTTTCAGATGATTCATTATTTTGGTACAAAAATGTGTAGACTTGCATTGAAGACTAAAATAATTGTATGAAAATGGAATGCTAACTTAAGGCTGTGCAACTGACCATTGGTCAATGTCACAGCTGATGTAGTTATGATGACCAAGTGCAATAAGTACTCTTCAGTATCATGATTGATGCTTACCCACCCACATAAATCCTTAAAACACAACCAGCAGCATTTTTCATTAGAGTTTAGGAGCGAGCAGAATATGTCAAATTTGTAAGAACATAACATTCAGTTTCATTGAAGAATTTTAAGTACAATCTCGATTAAAGTAGAAATTTTTGTCCCACTTTTTTTTTCTTTTTTTTTTTTTTATCATTTTCCAACATAAACCTGCATATTTCCCAGCAAAATCAAAATAACCCTGTTATCATATTAACTCATTCACCCACGAAATTTCAAAATGAACTATTCCAACCTTTAATATAAACTTTAATTATTTTACAACAATTATGAAACAAGTTATTTCAACTTATATTAATCACTCTTGTTGGCCTGAATGTTAGCACCTAGGGGGTCTTAGTGTGGGAGGAAACCGGAGTACCTGGAGAAAAGGGCAGGTGACCCCATACCTTTTCAGTCCAATCGGGGAATCGAACCCCAGTCGCCTTGATGTAAGGCAATTGCCTATCCACTGCACCACCCAACCATCCAACCTTTGAATTGGAAGAGTTCAAATGTGTCTTCAGGGGTCAATGAGTTAAAACTTAAGTTCTCTAAGATGAAGAATTATTTTTTTTGGAAATTATTTTGAATACAATATCATGGAAAAGGCCAAATTATAGCAATATGAATGACATTGCAAGTTGACAATGAATACATCATAATTCAGGGAGTATTATCTTACAATCATTGACAATCAGGAATCCTGATGTAGTTAGTTTATGATTCAATCAATGAATGCAGTAAATATTGTTCATGGTAATACATGCAATCATTGGAAGCCCTTTGTTTTCTCTCACCCTAAAAATGACAAAAATAATTTGTATGAATTAAAGAATTCTACTTACAAGTGTACTGTTATAAGCAAAGTTTTGGTTCAACCAAAAAGCAGGACCATATACAGGTATATGACTTTGAAGTAACCAAACGGTCTTGATTATTAATTTTACACTGCACTAGGTACAGTGTATGCTTAGCCCCTTTCACCCCTGTGTAACCTTAGTAGACTCTACCATGCATTGATATGGATAAGTCCATTATGGTTTACAGTGGTGAAAGGGTTAGAAGCTGTGCATTTCATATATATATATGCAAAATAGGCCAATTTCACAGTTTGAATATATTTGATCAAATAGCATTGTCCTAAATAGGATCTACTACTTCTTATATATATCCTAAATTACATAGTTTGAACTGATGCGGTGACATCCTACAGAGAAATCTGAAATGATGGCCATGACTACATCAACTCCAATGCAACACAATGTCCAAGACCAAGAAAATAGCCAATATTATTAACTCATTCACCCCTGAACTTTCATAATGAACTATTCCAACCTTTGAGTTGGAAGAGTTCAAATGTGTCTTCAGGGGTGAATGAGTTAAAGCTGTTGTGAAGTTGGTGTCTTTGAGTTTGTCAGACCTATGCTCGCTTTAAATGGGCACAAATTTTGACTGCATTACAATGTATATCATCCTGTATTAATTTACACCAGAAATCTACATAATTATTTTTTTATGCAATATTCCCAGTGCTCGAGGCACAGGGCTTTATATATAAACACCTCCATCATTTGTTTTTGTGTACGAAAATCATAATTTAGATTCTAAAGTTGCTTAATTTCCTGATTTTTCTTCAAATGAGTTAATAAGAGAGGATTTGAATTCACAACTGTAAAAAACTTTTTTTTTTTAATTTCTATCTGAATCAATAATTGTGAAATAGTTTAATTTGCAACAGATTTTCCTCAAAAGCTCAAGTGCAAGTATTTATCTTGCGAATGAGATCGACATTTTGTGGAAACCTCCAGATCAGTCTCTGAATCAAGAATGTATTTTGACAGAAACTTCAGAAATGATTTTGACATAACCAGCTTACAACTGATGGTGAAAACTTGAGATGTCATATACAAGATAAACACAAGGGAAGCCACATGTGGTGATCAGCCACATGCGGTGTCTTCCATGCAAGTCTACAGCATACTAGTGAACAACAGCTCCAGACCAGTGATGTTAATGTGTAATGTCTATGTCTACATAATAAATTTATTTTGCAAATAATGCTATCACACATATTTCAACACCATTGTATTATATCTATGTGGAGTTATAATTATTTTATGTTAATAGTTAAATAATTGCATTCCGTTTCCCCTATTATCCTTATTACATGTACACCTTTTGCAGTTGAATACAAACCACTTTTTACATTTTACCCTTTCACCCCTATGTAACTTCAGTAGACTCTACCATGCATTGATCTGAATGAATCCATTATGGTCTACAGTGGTGAAAGGGTTAAATAAGCAGTACCCACAATGTGAAGGATCACTGGTACTTTTTAAGTCCAGATATGAAAATCACAATGATTGGGTACACGAGGAAAATATTACTGAAAAGAAAAAGAAATAGAAATAATGAGGCAATACATTTATCCAGCGAGTTTAAGCTTTGAATATAAAACCTCTTCATTCTCCTGTGTAAAGTGTTATCAACTTTGTACTGCTCAGCCATGGAAACATACAGAATGTTATTTTTTTTTTCTGCAATCTCTAATTTTCGCCAATTTCTTAAAACGGTCAATTTTGATCTACGTTTGGCGTATTTTAGGTCTAGTGGCCACGGCATTAAGTGCTACGGTAAGGATGGAATGATTTCTGTTTATTTCAGGGGATGACATTTTTTGCAAGAAAGACTGTAACCATGAAAATTGCTAAAATTAGAATCCCACAAAAACATAAACCTTTACAGTATACAATGGGATGGAAGTGTACCGGACAAGTATTACCCACATGGCTGACATTGGTACTCAAGTCTCAGTCTAATGCCCTGGTACTCAAGTCTCATTCTAATGCCCATTATAAGAGCCCTGTGTGTGGGGATGCCACTTTAACATGGTACCAAAACATATGAAGAATTACCATGTGGCGCAATGATTGAATAATTATACTTTTTGATGCATTTAATTGGTATTTAACATTGAATTTCAAAACACAATATTAGCATGAAACGTTGTAAAAAGTGTTTTTTTGTTTTCTCTCAAGTTATTTTTTTGGGAAAGCAGTATCACAAGTGTAGGGGTCTTGTCGTTTATGCGGAACGACCGGCTCGTCTCTTTTTAAATGAAATATTTTCGGGTATAAATCCTGGTGGACCTGCAAATGTTTATGCAGGACTTGCAAGGCTTTGTCAAGACTTGCCTGAAAGCACCATCAGATAACTGGGTCCGATGTTATAACAGGTTCAACTATTTGGATCGTGATAAACGAATGCGGCCTTGATAATGGTTGCAGAGAAAAATGTGTCTGGTGACTCGAGTACCAACGCAAGCAAGTAGGAAATACCTGAGACTGGGTGAACTCCTCGGCATAATTTACAATAGGAAAACAGTGATTAATGTTACATATACAAACGTTTATTCAAATGTCTCAAGTTAATTATCAATTGTCTATCACATTTCAACATAGTAGTGAAGCCAGCGACCCATTATTCATTACATGATGATTTGAATTTGTTACATAATCAACGACATGTTTCCACGTATGATCAACATAATATAAAATTATAACATATGGATGATATTGAATGGACAGAATTAATGCAAAAATAAAATATAATATATCAGATTACAAGCACTCTAACCCTTCTCAAAGAAAAATTGATTTCGGATTCCACATTTTTTTACTATCGTATTTGTTATCAATTTAAGCTCCAACTATTAAGTGTATTTTAGCTCACATCTCCTTTTTTATAATTGTGCATAGAGTTAGAATATATTTTTATCATTATTGCTCTTCTCTTAATTGTAATTTCTACGACACAGGACGACACAAAACAGATATTTTGTTCAGTTTGGAACTGAGGACAAACATCAGGGATGCTACTACCCCTGACAGACCAATGACCTCAAGTGTATGCCAGCAACAAGTTTAAATAATTATAAAAAAAAAACAGCGGTACAGTTAACCGAAACAATATTAAACTGAAACGGACACACTAACATTATTTTCAGTGCTACAGGCGCGCATCTTCTAGTCTACGGTAGTCTATTGCGGTAAATACTTTCACCAGTATACAATAATATCATGTAAATCATTGAAACCCATTTCAACTCTTGACCGTTTCTAGGGAAAACGTCTGTGTACAAAACCTCCTTCCTGAACTTTGACCCTGACTGACCTCAGCCCTTGACCCTGACCTATTGGGGTCTTGAGCAATCTTGGACTGAAAAGTCATTGGTGTTTCTTTCCTGGTGTCTTCTGACGAGAGCTGGCAAGGAGGTCTTACACAGCCAAGAGGAATATTACAGAGATTCTGTTACTGAACTAGCTCCTAAAACACATTAACAACCCATAAACAAATAAACATGGAATAAGAATGTCGGATGCATCAATTAAAAATAATGTTAAAATATAAATGTCATGATCCGTCGCTGCTATAACTGGCATTATAATGGGGCACTGGATTTGGCGCTAGTCTATGATACGCTGACGCATGTCGATGATAAAAATAGCACAGCACTTCTGTCCAGTAGCCATACATATCAAAAATAAGTCTCTAAATTTTAAAAATTATGAAATGACCGATTAACATGATTTTAGGAAAGTTTTAAGTTAAAATCCTCGATATGAGGGCTTCGGGCCCTCTGTTCAGCAGTCTTTTGAACCTGAGACTCCGAGGAACTCGGGCAATCACACAACCTAGGGTCACAAGTACTCCTTGCAGGGACTCGGAGTAAGTATCACACAACCTAGGGCTACTCCTCTCAGGGACTCGGAGTTAGTTTTACACAACCTAGGGCCCTGTCAGCACAAGGCAGGCACTGTGACGCACTACATTCCAACTGTGGATCACGGCCCACTAATGTACATCCTTCCATCATATGGACCCCTGAAATACTTGCACGGGGTTCAAACCCTTAAGTGAAATACTCTGTACAATGTATCGGTGCTATATATTAACACATTGTTGGTCCTCTGTGAAGCATTCATTCCATATGATTCCAGTCCGATTCTCTCTGAAGTACTTTCACTTTCTATATACTTTGTCAAGAACTTGCTGTCAAGTTTGTTCCATTTCCATGTCTTTATTAAGTACTTTCACTTTGTATATACGTTATCCATACAGTGCTACACAACAGCTTGGCTGTGTATACCAACACAATCACATGTCACAGCCTGTATAATAAGACTTGGTCACTTCTCATCCCTTTTCCCCACCCTGGGGATCATACCCAGGAGTCGGCCCCACCCTGGGGGCTCCCCGGAGAGGACATATCCAACATCACATGGTTGGGGCTTGCATGTCCCCCCATCTGGCCTGGGTTGCGCTTCTTGCTTTTGTCCACCTGTGCATAGAGTTGCTCATTGGGGCTGGGCTGGGGCTCAGCGTGGAGCTGATTCTGGCTAGAGTGGAGCTGAGTCTGGCTCTATAATACAAACAGTAAAAGTTAGTGTTGTAAATACAATCTTTGATCATTGTTTCAAAATTATACTCACATGTATAATAGCTGACAGACTTCAGAAAGCAATTGATTTCATACAATTTTCTTTCTTGTAAAAGATCTCCTTCAGTTAAGCATGATTCCTGCTTATAACAACATGCATTATGTATTATTTGTACCCAGTTTCCCTTGGCAAGAGATGGTCAGTAACATTTAACCTTAACTCGTTCACCCCTGAAATTTTATAATGCACTATTCCAACCTTTGAATTGGAAGAGTTCAAATGTGTCTTCAGGGGTGTATGAGTTAAACATAGTTAACTTCAGTTTGCTGGGGTTAATTTTCAACACATGCTCGTTGGAAATTCCTATATATGAAGTAGGAGACTTACTGCATGTCGCTGGTTCTCCAGGCCGGGGAAGAGTGGAACAGCTCCTACAGGTATTTTGTTTCTGGGTAGGTGGTCATCTAATGGAGCGTAGCCTGGCCCCATGTCGGACATCGGGATCTCCTCGCCCTGTACATAGATTTCAAAAGGTCAGCAAAAAGTCACAACAGGCCAATCAAAGGAAATTTTTTCTTTCGTAAATCTGGCTATATGTATCAACTCCTTTTAGTTCTAAATATGTATCAACAAAAAAATAATAATATCTTTTTATTCAATGATATGACAGAACACAATTCGAGGCAGTTAACTTCACAAAATACCATCCTATGTCTTTATCATTTTAGATATATATACTTCGAAAAAATATTTTTTAAGGTATTTTATTTTGTACTTAACAGTTTTACAATTATCGTTTGCTGGCAAGGCAAACTACTCGGTAGTGAAGCAGATGCAAAACCACTCGATCAATCAATGTTTTACAATCAAAATAGCAAAATAAAGTTACCAAGTAAATTGTAGTAACTACTTCTGTATGCATTACACAGTAAATCATGTAATGAACGAAAGATGACATACAATATTTATTTGTAAAAGACAAAACTCCTTATATGGAATTTAAATTTCGCAAGACAATATTTTACTTGGAACCAAAAATGAGACCTTAAGTATACTTACTCGTGATCTGGTGTCGTAATCATACCGTCCTGCAATATAGAAAAACAACATTAAGCATGATTCTCGCAAACTAGACTTTATATAAAATGTATATATTTTTTCCCTTCAAATTTATTTAGACAGGTATGCTATTTGATAAAAACAACAGTTAAAATAGTTTTTTTAAATTTTATTTTTTACTACTTTTGACAAAATCCTGTAACTTTATCATGATGGGTGCTAGTGATGAATTTGCATACTAAATTCATGAAATTTGTTTCTGAGGTGAAAACCAATTTATAACACTGATTTATTGCTACCGATAAAATGTAAAATGCAATGTGAGAAGTGAAAATTGTCATTACTATTAAATGAAATGAATCAATGTTTTAAAACTCAGAAATAAAATCAACATAAAATAGTGGATCCTTATTTTATCATAATTACTTAATCCATGATTTTAAGGTAGTCAAAGTGAACAAGTTCAATAATACTGGTGGGTACATCATATATGACCATTAACCCTTTCACTACTGTAGACCAAAATGGACTCATCCAGATTAATGAATGGTAGAATCTACTAAAATTACATAAGGGTGAAAGGGTTAAGGTGTTTTTTGGAAAAACAAGTGATCTCAGTATAGGTTAAATAGAATTAATTTGGCCTCTTATTGATTCTTACCATCATCATGCATGGCTGGGTTGCTATGGCCGACGACCATAGAGCCAGGATAGCCACTATCCATGCGGCCGTTTGGCGAGTAGCTGTTCGGGTAGGGGTCTTTGTTCTGTACGCGACCGGAGGATATCGTATTGTCGTCGTACCCCTGACTTTCTGTCGGGCGGCTCATTGTGCTGTAGTTACTGATCGGTGAGCCGATGTCATCAGTCCTGGAATATAAACATGTCAGCCATGAAGGTACCTTCTTTAGAACAATAAAACCCCAGAACTGACAGACCTAAATCTGACAGACAGAAAATTTATAGGAAGACAATTCAACACATATCCACACTTCTTAAAATTTGGGGACACCCGACTAGTTAAAAAGGTACAAAATACACTTCTAGTAGAACCTGTGTAACATTTTTTGTTTGCTGGATTTTAAAAAATTACCGTAGCAATGAGTACGGATAATTTAAGATTGCCCTGGTGGTATCTTGTTAGATTATGAAATTAGGTGTTCTACAACATACTGATGATGAGCTGTTACCCTACACAGAAACCTACAGGATATCTATCTGGGTGAGATACTTAGTCCAATTATGCAAACACTATGAAGTTACCTCCCTTCGGTCATAACTCATCACACCTGAAATTCATAATGAACTATTCCAACCTTTGAATTGGAAGAGTTCATATATGTGTCTTTAGGGGTGATTAAGTTAAGTTACCTCCCTTAGTACTTGTGAAAACAGATTCTAGAAGAAGATACAGACTTAGATGATGTGTTGGTAGTGTCATCTCTTTTCCAAGTTGGAAATCTGAACCAAAACTGTTAGAGCAAGTAGCATTAGACCTGAGTGTTTCATACGTTTCTGGAAGGAGTTTAGGCCTTAGATACTTGAGCATTTGCAAACTTCCAAAACACAGTATTATATTTTCAAAGATATCTGATGTGAAGTGAAATGAATATTGTCAAGTTTCGGTACACCCAATACATCTCCAGCACACACAGAGCCATACACACACAGGGAGATATTAGCCAGGTGGCATAGGACTGGTAGTTAGCGCCTGATAATGCAGCTCCTGCGAATTCCTCAAAAACTGTATTGATTAATGTATATGCTAATTGTATAAACTGTATATCTATGTACTGTAACGAGCTTTAGAGTGGCTTATTCTAGCTAGATAGGGCGCTATATCAAATGTTGTATATTATTACACGTGAGGTTATTCCCCACCAAGTTTGATAATACTGACCTCCCAACCATTGGTGGGCTGTTGACGTCCGCTTCAACAAGTCCTCGCTCCTTGAACTCCCAATGCAGGGACTTGAACTCCCACAGGGATTGTAGCAACTGTAACACAAATGTTCAAATGAAGACCATACGTAACTTATCACTTTTTTCACCTCTTTAATAACTGACTGAGTATTAATACTAGCATAATATTTAAGTCTGAATCACCTATGCCCTGCTTTGACCATCAATATCAATGCACATATCAGAGAAACTAACTTAAATGCAAAAACTTGATGGACATGCTGACAAAGCCACAATGGACCATGAAAGGTAGGCCGCATCCAGCATTTGATGCATGGGTTGAGATGTACTACCTGAGATGCGTCTATGTTCCAAGTTTGCTTGGTCTATCACTTATACTTTCAGTGAAACTAACTTAAACGCAAAAAATTGATATTGACGCTGCTGCCGGAAAAGCAACACCTTAGTCTCGCTTCCACTTCGTAGCCGCGAGACAAAAAGATAACCAGATTTTTTTACCTCATTCGTTTTTATTGGATTAATTTTCCTTTTCTATGATATTAACAACTATGTAATCCACATCATTCCCAACATTCTAACCCATTTAAAGCTAATTGATTCCCTCCCATTGCAAAAACAAGTCATCCCTAGTTTCAAATTGACAACTTGTCCTAAAAGTTGTGTGCCAAATGCTGATATTTTCTGGATTCTTTTATATAAAAACCAACACTGCACAGCATATAATTTGTTTTTACAGAACAACAGACGATACATCATTTTCATATACTATTGCTTGTCTGGATCTCTAGCTAACAGCATGGAACCATTGAAAATGGATTTAAATGTAATACTAGTAAATCAAAGGACCAGCGTCATCACCTTGTGTGTGTGTTCCTTTGTCTTCGTTAGGTATTTCCCCTGGGCAAACTTGATGAATTTCAGTCGCCTCAAACCACCTTCATTAGCCAGTGATCTGAAATAAAATGGAACATCTTTAAAATTTTGTTTTCAGTGACAGGTACTGAGATATTTACCAAGAAGTATTTTCCAAAAAGAAATTTAAGCATTACAAAATCTAATCTGAACGTTCAGAATCTTCCTTTTTTTTAAGGACAAGGTCATCCATGAGTTAACTCATTCACCCCTGGAATTTCATAATGGACTATTCCAACCTTTGAATTGGAAGAGTTCAAATGTGTCTTCAGGGGTGAATGAGTTAATGAACATTTCTTGAGACAGCTCAAGTCAGACATATGAAGTGATCGTGTTGATGGTGCTTACTGTGCAAAATCCTGATTGTTTTTTGTGACTTCGTGTAGAGTGGCCACCACGGCTGATATCGTCCGGTCTGGGACCAGCTCTATCTGTCTCTCCATAGGAAGTCGACTCACTAGCTGTTTCATAGCGTATTTACCTGAAAACGAAAGTCATTCAAATCATTACTATCATTTGTTGAGCTTGGGTTACAAAGTATTTACCAACCCAAGTCACTATTTCTGAAATAACGAAGTGTTCCGTAAAGCAAACTTAAAAACACATAAAAATTCTTGACTTATCTCCCCTTTCATTTTAATATGACATGTTTTATTTTTATTGCTCATAGGGTTAAAATGGTCAAGCATATAAAAACTAGAAAATGTCTGTAAGACATAAATGCCCCCGCTAATGGACGGGAAGGGACGGGACGGACATTGGCAACACTATATGCCCCCCTATTTTATGGCGGGGGCATAAACATGGGGCGGAGTTGTAAATTTATCTGGTCTACGTATTAATTACAACGGGCCCTGACAGTAATGCTCAAAGCTCTTAAAGAAGAACTTCATGGTTATTAAATGTGTCTTGGTTTTATTTTCATCAATATTTCATGACATGATCCATTCATTACATGTATAAGGAAACATTGTTTCCAAGATAAAACAACTGACCTATTAACTCTTTGTTTCTCTCATCAATGGCAAGGTTCCTGAGGGCCAGGGCCACATGACATACAACACTGTCCCTTTCATGGGTGAGGAGGTCAACAAGGTCGGGGAGGCTCTTCTCCTTCCTCACCGTGGCTCGTGTGTCTTCAGCTGGCTGTGAACAGAGAGTATGGTTCATTCATTCAATGCTGGTCACTCACTGGATTAGTTAACATTAAACAATCTCCAGTGCAAAGTCTAACATGAAATTACATAACATGTACAAGCTACTCAAGAAAATTATATTCTAAATTATTGCACAAATGTTTAGTCGGCACAGATCATATACAAGTCCATCAATATTACCATTCCTCAATCTATTCTTTGTGGCTGTAACAAATTCATTTACACCAGACCTCTTTGAAGAAGACATACCTGCCAGTAACAAGCGGTGAGATTTTGTATGGCACCTGCTGCTGCTTCCATGGTTACTGGGTTGGTCCCATCCTTCAGAATACTGAGATATGACCGCACCAGCTCCGGTTCCCATAATGCCTTGAATTCTGCAGCACCGGGTGGAAGTCTCGTTTCCGCACTGCAACAAAATCAGTCAAATTACTTCATACCCAAACAATAGAACCTTGTCAATCCTTAACTCATTCACCCAAGAAGGCACATTTGAACTCTTCCAATTCAAAGGTTGAAATAGTTCATTATGAAATTTCAGGGGTGAATGAGTTAAGGCACAAGTTTCTGTCTGATTTGGTGAGGTTATATAATTAAGTACTTCAGGCCAATATTTATCTCTTGAATGCTCCAGTTTATATATAGAAGACCTCAGTTAACTCTCACTAATGGAGCTAGCTTCCCTTCCTGGCTCAGTTCCACTGTCTATTATACATTTCCTATCACTATTGCTGGCGATATGACGTTTGGTCCAAAAGAGGCATCTATATTGGCCGACAGAATAATGTGACAAGGAGCATTTACAGAATTTAAATCTGAACCATTACTTCCATTTCACAAGGGGCGTGACATCCTAGTGAGAGTCAGTATTGCAAAACAGAAATATACAAAGTGGCATGTGATAATTACAATCAACCTATATCCTACATGTGATTATGTTATATAATGTTCAATTATCACTTACTTCTGGTTTAAGTCAGGCTTGCCTTTACTCTTGGACTGTTGTGACTTTTTATTTCCCCTATTACCTAAGCACCCTGTTGTTTCTGCAAACACAAACAATAATAATTAATATTCATATTCCTATCATGATACAAACACAACCAATGATGAATATTCATGTTTTATTTTTATCAAAAAAAATGCAAACAATTATGAATATTTCATGTGATTTCCAATCTAATTAAAATTATATCTTTACATCGCTCCCGTTTACTGATATGTCGCTAAAAATACAAGATCTATTATATCATTAGGAATATAGATGCGATTGCTATAAATTTCATTAAAATGGTATTTCCAATGTTTTATGATACAGTGAAATAACTCATTGCAGCAAAGGGAGGTAACCCAGTCATTCTCCAATGGTTTTTTTATCCACAGAAGTTCAATGTCAGTAAGACCTTACCTTTTTCTGGCTTTGCTTGTTTCTTTAACGTCGTGTTGCGTTTCCTGTAGAAATCTCGTTCCGACACTTCCTGTATTCGGAAGGAAAGGTTGCGTAAGGAACACGTACAATTTTCCACAGGTTTACTGTCTTTATCGTGGTTTTCCACCGACACTTTCAACGCATACACTAAACAGTTCACCAATTTACTACATTCACGTAAACGATTCCGTGTTTCATATCCACGCTGTTCATCTTCTTTAGCTGCAGAACTTAAATTTCTGTAAACATGAAAGAAAAACATAATTATGATCACTCATGTCAGAAGGGATTTTTATCTTGTGTTACAAAATTCATTGCATGATTTCCTTTTTAACAGAATCAGCATCCCCCTTTTAAGCGTGTATGTATGGAACATAAAAAATAACAAGTTAAGAGATTTTTTAAGATATAACAATCCCAAGAGATAATATCTCAACCTTAATAACAAAATATTATTTCCAGTAATACTTCTAGCTGTTCAATTACACCAAAGACAATAGCCACACAGCATTACAGTACAGTAAAACTTAATTATACTGCCACGATTTCTCCTGCAAAGTTTTGGCATTATAAGGGGGTTTGGCACTGAATTGAAAGACAAAAAATGTTTGGAAAAAGACGGTCTTGACAAACGTTGGCAGACTCCCAGTGAGCGAGGTTGCAAATGAAATATCAGGGCTAGTAACACTCTTACTAGGTTAAACAACACCCAGGAGTATAACGTACATCAGTCTCATTTCTTTCAATTTTTTTCAATTTTTTTCTTGAACTATTTAACAACTTTTTCATTAAGAGCATTAAGGATCAAAGGTAAAACCTGTAATTCGAATTTGCTAAAACATGACAGGCAGATACTTTTAATTAATTGACACATCATCGTGATCAGGTTTCATGACCTTCCTGCACTGGTCTCGCCTGGTGAACACGTCCAAACATCTGATTCCAGCTAATTACTAGCTAATTACTATTTATCGTCCCCTTCACTGATATTTACATCTATTTCAAAATCTTCAACAAAAAATTATGTTTCTGTTCATCTGTTAATATGAAAACTTGACTTAATATGCAATTTCCAGCAAAATAAACTTGGAATATCTGCAACCTGACATGTAAGTTTCTGTTCCTAGTAAAGTTAGATCATGAGGAATTTTTACCTAATGAAACTAACCATCCTTTGACAAGCTGGATTCTATGTAAGTTGCCAATTAATTGTACCTAGTGAAGCTTACAATACTTTGGCAATCTGGAGCGTGAGTAATTGCAATATCATCTGCACCAAGTGAAGTTAAGCAAACTTCGACACGTTAGACCCTGATTATAAGTGTCCAATCGTCTGTACATAGTGGAGCTAAACATACTAGGACTGACTCGATCCTGATTAAGTGCCCAATATATTTGTACCTTGTGTTTTTCGTTCTGTCCTTAGCCACCTAAATTCCAAAACCAGATTCAGAACATAAATACACTTACAGGTTTTTCTATTGACTTTGAAATTTGAATTTAATTGATGTGATTTGTAGTGCAATTTCCACTGGAATGGCTCCAATTGCATTTTAAGGCTAAAACCATCAACATACCTTACCTCATTTTAATTAATAAAGTGTTCATCTCAATTTAGTATTCAAAGGATGATGACATTTTTATCCTTAAAGGCATTTAACTCTCTCACCCCTGAACTTGTATAATGAACTTTTCCAACCTTTGAATTGGAAGAGTTCAAATGTGTCTTCAGGGGTGAATGAGTTAAAATCTAATCTCTGGTAATTGCTGAATAAGAGATTATAAACCTCACCTGATAATGCCTGTGGCGTTTCTAAACACTGTGGTCCAGGCCTCGTTAGTTTGCAGTAGTCCACGTTTCTCCCAGCCGGAGTACGGAACAATAATTCTGCTCACAATATCTGTCAGAGCTTCCGATATTATCTTTGATTTTAATTCCTGTAAATACAAATTTGAACAATTATTTGAAAAGCAAGAAAAACCACACAGTGTTCGTTTTTTCTTTTTAACAAGTTGAACCATAATAAAGATGGACTGTATTTCTTGGATCCTGTAGTTACCAAAAATTAAATAAAAATTGAACTTTAAGATACCTGTTCAATTTACCAGTTGTAACCAATCAATCTCTTCAAATGAAAGGATAAGATTAGGAGTTGGAGATTGAAGAATGAACTTAACTGTTAACTATAGTATATCAACATTCATATGTAAATTGGTGGAAAGTTTCACATCGATGGGGTTCATTTTCATCACAGATTTGTCAAGCCAGAGACAGTGCTCAGGAGGTGCTCCTTTTAGTAAATAACCCAAAAGCCTTTGTGAAACAAGCCCTTTGGGTAGGTAAACCATACTCAGTGTAGCTTACTGCTAATGGAGAACAACCTTACTCTTGGTGGAGAACAACCTTACTCTTGGTGGAGAACAACCTTACTCTTGGTGGAGA